TTAATCCAAATAAAATGGAATGGGAGCTCTTCTCTCACACTCTGCTGAGTGTCAGATCTGATCAGTGGATCTGCACCAAGGGATCTGTGAGTTATCTGATGCACAGGCTACACCTATGCCAACAAAAACCTGTACTCAGCTGGCAAGCCCATCTGGAATGTAGGAGATTAGCTGGGCATTCAGCTGATAAACGCCATCAAAAGGCTGGTATGTCTATGAATACCCAGTACTTGCTTCATGCTGGCTTGGATTAATAGATGGCTGCTAAGCGTAAACTTCTGGAGATTTACATTTTGAATTTGAAATGCTGGAGTATTCACTCCCTCCTCCTGGGTCAGACCCCAAACCAGAAGAGCACCAAAGAACAGAAAAGGTGACAAGATTTGAGGAACAGAAACAGGTAGATGACAGAAAAACTAAGAGAGTCCTGGTTTTACATGGCTGCTCCTAATTCATCAACTCACTAATCAACTCACTAATCATCATTCCCTGAGTGTGAGACAAACCCAGAAAGACCAGGAAGGGCAAGGTATGGGATAAAACAAGAGACACTGCTAACAGCAGGGCTCAGGCAGGGACCTGCACTGAAACACAGCCCAAATGCAAGGCAGGAAGGGAGGGAGGCTCCAGGCTCCCCACAGCCCCTTGAAAAGTGGCCAAGCTGGGCACACCATGACATAATTAAGCTATTTCTATCCCTCTGCAGATACTACTGCACCCCTCATTTTAATTCATAGTTGTTTGATCCTTATGGACTGGAAATACTCCAGTGAGCCACAATATTCCTTATTATCAGCTCTGATCCCTTTAACACCCACCTATTCACATGCTGTAATTGCAGCATTCTGTAATTTATACATTCCCATACACCATTTCTTGGTAGTCTTTAATATATAGGCTCTCTCCAATTCACAGTAGAAACAAAATTACTGCCACATCTCAATGACACAGATGTTCTCTTGGTTCCTTTCCTAAGGAAATCTTGCAAATAAATTGTATGAAAAGTGGAAGCATTAGGAAGAAAAAGCATTTGTATACATATTACCCTGACTTCCATAAAGAAGAACCAGAAGAAAAATTATGATAAATGAAGTGTTGTGGAAAAAGGAAACATTATCCAGAGTAGATCTAAGAAAATCTAAAAAAATATCCGAGATTGTTTTTTTGTGTTAGGTTCCATCCCTCACCAAAAACTTCAAACCATTTACATTTTACATGTTTGCAAAACACCTTCTCAGCTACCAGCACAGACATCTTCATAGTTAGTAAACTGACAGAAAATTCTAAGCATGATTCAAAGTAGTATGAAATGCAACAGGCTAAAGGAATTGAAAGTCAAAATGTGCCTTTGCTGAAAATGAAGGAAGTTCAGAGAACTATCTGAGATTTATCTGCAATTACAGCTACATTTATCTCGAGTCAGTCATGGTGAATCCCATGAGTGTTGTCCCTGTCATACATTCACCTGGGAGAAAGAATCACAGTTAAATGACAGTTCAAATACGTATACCTAATGAAATTTTGATGGCTGTTTTCATTCCCCAGTCATTAGTCTACATTTTTAGTGAGAAAGTTTAGTTACAAAAGTAGGCTGAATGAAGAAATAGAATGACTACTTGAAAAGCAGCTGAATCTGGATTTAAATCAGATTATGTTAGCATCTTTGCAATTCCACAAGAGTAAATAATGTTCATTATTGCAATCACACCCTGCAATTTCACTTCTGTGATCAGTATAAATAATCAGTGGTGGCATTTCACCATTAAAAATTTTTTTCATAATAAAAAGTACCATAACAGATCAATGCTTTAATTTACAGGTAAGAAACTAATTCAAATTGTATATTTTGTTTCGCCTGAGAAGTTCAACTGCTGAAGAACATTCTCTGAAAATTATTAATTCAAAACATGGTCTTGTTTTTTAAACTGAGTTTGTGCTTTCCATCTTCAAACCAAAATCCAAAGGCTTGAAACAATTTCCTCACCCCCCTCTCATTCTTTATTTATTTTTCTAGCACAGAGATGAAATCTCTTCTTTAGTAGAGAAGAGCAAAGCCTGTGAATTTCCTGTGTCTAAACCCCATGGTCACAGACTCACCTCGCCCGGGACTGCTGATATCCTATTACTGTGCTCTTTTGAACAGAGAAAAAGATAATAATTTCAGGAAACCATCTGTTTGCCTATGATAAACCTTGTTTTCTCCATAAAGCTGGAATTGGAAACTTAACTCTGGTAAATTATTTTATAAATACTGCAGTAATAAGGGACGTGAGGGTTGCAATTCCTTTAGGCTACATTATATTTCACTACTGCTTCACTTTTTAGCTGGTTTGCAGTTAAGCAAAAGGAAGTGGGAAATTAAGTACATTTCCCAGTGTGAATATCACCCAGAACTTCCAGAAGTTGAATTGTTAACACATCTGTGTACCACTGAGCACCATAAACAGAATACAAACCAGTTACTTTTCTAAATTGTGGGTGCAGGTTTTTGTGCACTTCAAAGGACTGTGTTTTAAAGGAAATCATTCACTCAGAGGAGAAATTCACTCAAAACCTTCATAACCCACCCACCCACCATAACAGCAATTGTGACATTATTCTAAACCCAATCTAACAACTTCTGACTTGTTATGGAAATACTGTTTCCAAACTGAACGTGCAATTCCATGCATTTATCTCTTACTCACATTTTCTGCAGAGAAACCTGACACATTTCAAGTACCAGGAAAATAAAACTCCTGGAGAAGAGGTAATCACATAAGCATAACTTGTAATAATAACTGAACACCAAGAGCACCTCAGGTAGAAAAGGCAGAATGGAATTATTTAAATTGAAAAATTAGTGTGAGAGTCATATTCTTTGCTATAGTTGAAGATAAATGTATTGAATGATCTCAGAGTATCTAAGTTATCTCTGGTTTACTGCTAAATCTGAAGTAAATTATTATTCCTCATAACTCTTTTGTTATTTGCCATCCCCAGACAGATGATAGGAGAAGAAACCTTAGTTTTATTTACATATTTTACAGCTTTTGTCCATGCCATACTCTCCCTTCTATTTCATTATTATCACCAAGGAATAAATTTTTCCAGTGGAAGCAGAATCGGGGTGAATACAGCCAGCAAATAAAAGTATTAATCTGTCAGCGCATCAAGGTCTTTTAAAAAATAAAAGTATTTTAAGTCAAAGGTACCTAAAAAGTCAAATATTGGGAAATTGATGATTAAACACCTTAGAAAGAAATTTGTTCTGGGAATTCCACTTAAACACATCTGAATGGCAGAAATTGCACTGGTGATTTGTCCATGAACCTCCATTTTTAGCTGCAGCTGCTCCGGGGATACTTTTAAAAGAGAAGAAAACATTTAATACTTTTAAATGAGAAGCAGCCCCTGGAATTGGACACCTGCTGAATTTGAACTTCCAGGGGTCCAAGCAGCTGTGGTTTGGGGCGCAGTAACTGTGATGGGTCAAAACTGTTCCCAGTCATGCTGAGGAAACAGAAGTGTCACACAAAACTTTTTGGATCTCTCTTCTGTACACCACCACCTTCCTGGCCACAATCCTCCAGACTGCAGTGATCAAAATAACACCAATAATCTGCCAGCTGACCAGACCAGGCTCCCAGCAGTGGGCAAGTCAGAGCTCAGGAGGGATCCTGAACATCCTGAAAAAATCTGAGAGGAGCTCCTGTCACTTGCCAGCTTTTCAGCACAGGAGAAGGAAGTCTCACTCAATGAGGGCTGGCAAACCCCCAGAGTTAACACCTGTCAGCAAAACACAGAGCTGCAACTCATAATCCCCAATGCCTGCATCTGTGTCATGGCCAAGAGCATCCTGAAGAAAATACACAACTGAAAGGTATGCCTCTGTGTCCTTGGGTGAACTTGATAATCTTAGGATTTTTTCAACCTAAACAATCTGTGATTCTTGTCTGAAAGTGAAGTGAGAAACTCTTCTGATTCCTGAGTCTGTGCAGTACAGGCCAAGTGTTCGGGCAAATGACTGCAAATCATAAATAACTGGTTTTGAGAGGATTTCTCCAGGAGTAGGAGAGCTCTTTCCCCCATTTTTAAGCCCCTCTATATTTTAAATTTCTGATCTTGAGATACCAGGGATTTGGTTTGGAGGTTTTTTGTTGGGTTGGTTTGGTTTGTCTGGTTTTAAAAAGCATCCAAAACCATGCAACAGAGCTTCCTATTTTCTAAATTCCTCTTCCTGGAAATCCACAAACTTTCACACACACTCCTAAAGCAGCAGTTCAGCTAATCAGCAAAAGGGCAACACAACTGAAACCAACAGCTTGTGCTGGGAAACTTCAGATAATTGTAACAGAAAATCTGCTGCAAAGTTCAACCTGAAAATTAGCCTGCTCTGAGGCACGGGGCTGCTCTTTGCTGCTCCATGCTGTGCTGAATGAGACTCCTTCAGTGAGGAGCTGGGATCTGCAGGAAGAAGCATTTCAGAGAGATCAGGACAGAACAGCAAATGCTCAAATGCCTTCCCACTCCTCGAGCTTCTGGGAACAAGAAGCTGTACAAGGTAATTGCTGAAGTAGTTTCACTACACTTGGGAAAACACAAAAGCTTTACAAAACGTATCTTGTGAAAAATCCTGCAATCCGGCCAAGTAAGAAACACCAAAAGGAACCAACATTGCCAGAACACGGACAGAAGCCCGTAGGGCTTTGTAGGTCCTGTCAGATTTTGGAACCAGCAAGGTTCCACTCCCCACAGCATGATCATGGTGCTTTACACATCTCCTACCTAATCTGATTTCACAGAAGCAGGCAGCACCCCCTGCCTCGAAAAGAGTCATCCCATGACGACTGAGCATTGATACTGAAAGCTTAAATTAATGCACAAACAAAAAAAGGCGTTGGGAAGAGAACAAAGTGGGACTATGCACTGAGTTTTTCTGACAAGCCCCAAACACTGCCACCACCTCACCCCACTCCCCAGGCTACCCAAGTACCAATTTATTAGCATTTTTCACCAACCTTGGGAAAAATAATATGACATCAGGTAAGTTTTTCCGAAGGAATCAAAGTCTCTATTCCTACCAAAGGGACTCATGCTGAAGAACCATCCATGCTATCTTTAGGTAATCCAAGCTCCTTTTACACAGCATAAATATTCAAAAAAATCGCACAGTGGTTACCACAGCAACAAAGTGAGCTGTGCTGCACGAACCAGCTCCATGGCTGCCGCAGGATCTGCACGACAATGGCTCTCATTACTTGCTATTTTTCACCCCATTCCCCTAATTGAGCCGTGCCAGTTCACACAGCTCTGTGTCTTCCAAACTTGTACACATCCTCCTTCCCGGCCAACCCTGCACACCACCACCCACAGCTCACACCCAGCTCGGAGCCTGGAGCAGCCAGTGCTGCACCCACCTTCTTGCCACAGAGAACTGCTGAGGATTTGGATTATGTGAAAACTTTAGCTCCTTGAGAAGAGGTAGACTCATAGCAGGATCTTCAGACACATCTTTAATCAGGTCACACCTTTAATTGATCAATAAACACAGCAGCCGTACAATACCAGGCAAATGTCAAAGCAGATGACAGAGGCTCTGGAGCAAGCCCAGTATTCTGCTCAAGAGCAGGACATCTCTTACTCTGGCACCACGGTCACAACCCCAGATGGGTCTGGTAGCACCAAAAGCAGGAGTTTCTTCACTTATCAGAAGGAAAGGAATGTGAGATGGGACATCAGGATGAGCTACTGAAGCTGCAGGGGACAGACTGGATAGCTTACTGCAGATAAATCAGGGCAAACGCCCAGCCTCAAAGAAAGGAGTGTCACAAGAAGCCTTTCACACACAGACTTGCTTTGGCAAATTGCCCTTTGAGTACCTTCCATCCCAACATACTCCCAAGAGTCATATGCTGCTTCACTCAAAGCTGGCTCCCTGCATAAATAAAACTGTCAGATTAAAGCAGATTATTTTGTCTCAGCTAGATCTGCACAGCTGAGCTCAATGGCAATTGCAGAGTTTTGGAGAAGGCCAATAGCACATCTTTTATCACATGGCTTTAGCTCCCCTATTACAGATCTATTTTTTGTGGTTTAAGATATTAAGAATAAGAATGATCTATATAACAAGCCTGAAACCCCCGTATTTAGGCAGCCTGTTAACAAGTTTCAAGCCTTACTCTGAGGAGATACTACTTGTTCAGCAAACTCTCAAGAAACTTCAATATCGAAATGGATCTAGTTAAGAATGCTGCTTACATTTGCACAGTGCAGTGGTTGCAAAGTCAAAGTCCCACAAAGTTCACTTCCAGCATTACAGATACAATTTTAGCTTCCTGTAAGAAAAGGACATTTTCTGTGAAGTGGATTCAGGATTGTAAAAAGAAGCTTGGCCTCTACTCTGTCCAAGCAGTGCAGTGGAGACCTGACATCCAGGGTTCACAGCAAGGGATCGTTTGCTGGTGCAGTAAAAGAGACATAGGCTAAGACATTGCAAACACCAGAAGAAAAGACATGGTCTGAGTGTCAATCAATCAGAAAATAATTTTCAGAAGTATCTGGAATATATGAATCACAAAATGTTTGATCTGCAGTTTTTTAAGTACACAAAACAAGTTGTGAGCAAGACCAAAACTCTGCACCAGACATTCAACAAAGAGTTTATGGGGAAGTTCCCTAAATGGTCAAAAGTATATTTTTCTGTAACTGTGTTTTGAAAGGAGACCAACTTTTGAGTTCCTGCCAGAATGCACTTCCTCCCACACACAGGTCCTGTTTCTAAGAAACATGCAGTTAAACAACCACAGGAATAAAAGTCAGTTCAATACTACCATCCAGACTCACCTGCTGTGCCCTGAGGAGCAGCACCTGTGTGTCAGAGAAGACACTGGCTTAGTCCAGGAGAACACAGCAAGGATGCTGCAGTTAAGAAGCTGCAGCTCAAGGAGACCACAAGATTAACAGGCTGTAAAAGGACAGAGTCTCCAAAAACAGAGACTCCACTCTATTTCTATTACCAAGACATCCATTCCAATATTTAGGCTCTCACTCTGTCCTCCAGCCTCAACCCTGTAAAGGTGTTTTATCCTCTCCTTCACACTAAAGCAATCAGTTTTCTCTCTTGCCTGCAGAATATACTTTTTGGTTGGTTTCCCAGTAAAGTGAGATTGCACACCCTGTCTTCTATGATATAAAGCCAATGTTGTTCTGCAATGTCTCATCCTTTTGCCTAATAATTCAAAAACTGCAGTTTAAGATCCCTAAATTAGAAGAGCTCTTCCATGAGCAACCTGTGGTCCACATACAACCTACCAAGCACCATCAAGAACCTCACTAATTGTCTCAATTCCTCCTTCTGCACCTGCCCCAAGCCCAATACTTTTCTCCTGTGCAGCCCACTGGACAGGAGCAGGGATGCTGAGAGACCATGTTATCCCATGGGAATCACAGTTTCCTTGGCAGGCTGCACAAGGGTGAAAGCCAAAAGCAGGGCTAACTCTCCTCCAGTAGTCACAGAAGGAGCAAATGTCAGAAAGGGGCCTCCAGAGAAAGCCTACTTTATTCTCTGTCAAACAGAGCCTGGTCCTGGGTCATGGACAGCCAGCACCTCCTGCCCTGCTGGGGAGGGAAGGGTTTGCAAGCAGCAGAGCACCTGAAGTGACAATGCTGGGAAGGCACAGCTTCAGCTAAGCTGTGTTTTCAGGAGCTCACTGGTAGAAACTTATGAAAAACAGAAAACAGTAAAACAGACCCAAACACAGAAGCAGCAGGCTCCTTCCCACTGGAAGGAGACAATTCATTTTCTTGAGTTCCCACAGTTATTTTTGTGACATATCTGGGGAATATCTCTTTGTTTTCTCTCAGTGTTCTGTGTACCTGGACACAGACAAGGAGGTACTTACCTTGTACATCTTAAAGCATCAGGGCACTGCTGCTGTTTCTCCCAACAGGCTTTTGTGTCTCCGGCTTGCTCAGAAAAGGCACCTGCTTTCAGCTGAGGTACAAGGGCCTAAATATACCTCACTGGAAAAAAGTGCCTATAAAGGTATGGATATATTTATAACCACGAGAAGAATGCACTCAGAAAACTGTTTGCCCTCCACTATGGGGATTTTTGAAGGAATTTTGAATGAGTTAGAGATGGGACCTCTGAGTTTTCAGAAAATGTGGTTTATTTTTCTTGTCTTCTACACAGGCAGGAAGAGTGAGTTCAGCTCACATCTTTATTGCATGGTTCAGAAGGTCACAAGACCTTTATTTACAAGGCCTTTTAAGGATTTATTGACCGATAAAACACTGCCAATAAGAATATTTATGGTTTTAATGCAATCTTTAAATATTTAATCATATGGACCCATGCTACAGTGTAAGCTGCCTTAGCCAATCATGTTATGACACACAAACCTACAGTACTGCATTCTAAATTCCTTGTTTACCTTTGTAACTACTTTTATTTTTTCTATGTCCTAACCTCTAAAACTCTAAACTTTCCTCTTATGGTGTCTCTGCTTTAAACTCAAAATCCTCATTCTCACTTCTATCACCTAAGTTTGGAAGCCTTTTCCAATGTCTCAAATCAAATCCAATGTTTAATTCTAAGCTTGGGCTTGCAGGTCCAAAGTTCTGAGAATTCTCTGCATTTCTGATTCCAACACTGCACATAGTGCAAGGAATCTCAGTTTTCTGCTCACTTTCCATAAGCAAGCAAACCAGCTGCTGGCAGATGTGTGGCTGCAGACCTGTTCCAAGAAGGCCCAGATACAACAAAGGAAATGCAGACAAACCCCAAGGCTGTTTGCAAGCTGAACCATGGCACAACACAAGGCTTCAGAAAAGGGAGACAAATTCAAGAAAAAAGCAATTCCAGCCTCAAAAGCAGCTGGACAGAGCAAGCCTACGAGCTTAATGACTTTCCTTAGGCCAGCTGCTACAGGCACATCACCAGCAGAGATAACCACTCCACCTAGCAGAACACAGAATGGGATTTTTAGGCTGATTCTGGCTCTGTATTAATTTTTTCTGGGTTTTATTTTTGTTTGGTTTGTTTTTTGTTTCATGGTTTTGTGGGTATTCTCAGTGGTTTTGTTTTTGTGGAGTTTTTTTTCCTAGTATAAGTTTATACATACATTACCAAATAGAAATAACTGCAATGAACATAGCCAAAATTGCATTGGCATTATTAAAATGAGCATTCTATGGAATAGTTCATGTAATACAATAGTCATACAGAGAATTTTTTTTACATAGTACACAAGCCTCATGCACATAAAATGATAGCATGCACTTTAAAAAATTATTATGTACAGTAATTTTTTACAACTGAAATGAAATATCCTGAACAGCTCTAAACCTGTGCTGTATCAGTGCTGATCTGTCCAGATTTCTTAAAAAATCTTTGACAAAAAAATTAGGTTAAATTACTTTCAAAGGAACAATCATGATTGCTGCAGTAATTTCATTTATTTTACCTAGGAAAACTGGAGAGCTTGGAAAAGTCAGATACTTTCCAAGCCATAATTTTCCCCCTACATTTTAGTTCAAGAACATGGCCTTCATTGTCTGGTGATTAAGAAAAGAAAAATTAGGTAACCTGAGATCTTAAAGTATTGGTGCTCATTAGCAGAAAGCACTGCTAAACTCTGGTAACCTTGCCATATTTATTTTTTAGAGACTTTTAACACCTTTTATTCCATGGAAAACTACAGCTATTGCAATTTTTCTACAGGGACAAATCAGACACAATATTAAGGGAGGGGAAAACCCTCATGATTAATTTTAAAACCTCCTAGAAACTTCATCTTAAGGCTTTCTCTGACACAGTGATGCCACTGAAGTTGGTAATGAAACCATTACTGTACAACTCAATAAACCCATAATAAGCTCACTACCTAAAGAGTGTGGGTGGTTCTATCCCTCTTCATTCCTTGGTGAAGAGAAACGTCAGAACAAAAAAAAAATCAGAAAAAAACTCCAAAAAACCAAACAAAAACCAACAAACTATAAAGAACAGGAAAGAATGATCAAAGTTATGGAAGAGCTCCCTCACAAATAGAAACTAAACTAAATAGATCAGACCCAGGTCAGGAAAATGGTACAGCCATGATTATTTCAGTTTCTGGATTATTATCTAATATAATGAAAAAAAAATATACTGACATATCCTGGGCAGTAAGGTGCAGCAACTGATAAAA